TTGAAAAAATTAAGTTTTAAGCATTTTATTGATAAAAATCTTGTTCAAGCACAAAGATTAAATAATGTTCCATGTTCTCGAACATGTTTTATGATATATTTGATCTTTTCGACCCTTTATTTAACCTTTAAAAACTACTCCTATGCAAAAAATAATAATAATAAATTACCTTTTAAAGATTTGAAATGATTAAATCGTGCAATTATTCAAAATAAAAGTTACCTTACAGCTAATAACATAATTTTTCCCACCCCTGTATCGACAAATATAAAAAATTACTTTTTAAAAGCTTGGAATGCTTTAACGGTGCAATTATTTAAAATAAAAATTCCCTCATTGACTATGAAAGAGCTTGTATCTCATAACACTTTTCAACCCTTATAAATCACCCCTGTGCTAAAAAAATGATAAAAAATTATGTTTTAAATCTTGGAATGCTATAATTGTGCAATACTTTAAAATAAAAATTCCCTTATATTGTTTATGAAAGAATATTTTACTTTTGCCATTTTCAACTCTTATAAACTACCCTTTTACCAATATGTAAAATATTTTTATTATAATAATCCATTTTTAAATATAATCAATCATAAAAAAAATTGCTACGCTGCATATAATCACACTAAATTCTTTTACTTATTTTATTTGTATAATATAATATATAATATCTAAAAATGAGAAAGCTCCGAAAATATATCATTGGTTTTTTTACCATAACTCAGTTAATTTTGAAGCTATAGAATCCTACAAAAAAGCATTTTAAAGATAATTTCAAGAGCTGTAAGATTGTTTGCATATAAAACCTTTTAAGTCCTTCGTTTTTTAAAGGGAAAGGATCGAATGGCTCGAGACAGGTCGTTTTTTCACTAAAATGGATATCTCCTTTATTTTTTATGCTATAGGAATAAAAAAATTCGAGTTCTAAACCGGTCTAACTTCAGAATCGTATGAAAAACACTAAAACAAAACTAATTGTAAAGGGTCTACGATTAATTTTAATTCTGATGGAAATGGTACAGTGTTTACTGCTCATTTTTCCTTAAAAAATATGAGCAACCCACCTGTTTTTGAGATAACTCCGTCAATTTTGCTCTAACTTTTATAAGTGCTCATTTTGAAGGTCTATTTGAGTACTACAAAAAACTCCTGGAGCGTTATACACGTAAAATTAGTCCGTTTTCTGTTATTTGACGTTGGATACATCGATTCAAAAACAAGTTCCCTTCCACTAACCATATTTCGCTTTATATAGGACGTACAACACTTTTTAAAAAATGATTTTCTTTGTTTATTTATAAGCTAAATTTTTGTTCATTACACTTTTTTTTATAAAATGCGTAGTTTTCAATCGTAAATAACTAAAAGCTATTGATTTCTCGAAAAAATTCATCGAATATTTTTTGCTCAAAATTTGATACTCTAGCGTTGATTTCCAGCGTTATTTTTGAAAAAAAATTTCCACCCCCGAGAAGGGGTATCAACCCCCAACAGTGTGGAAGCGTCAATCGGCGCTATGTCACTAATGTTCATTGACCTTTTCTCTAACTATCTGCCAAATTTCAAGTCGATCGGTTCAGTTTCAAAGAATTCGGCGGTGAAAAGCTTCAATGACTGTACTATAAATTGTTTCTTGATCAATATCATTCAATTTTTTTCTGAACTTGTTTTCAATGGCGCCAAGGGAAGTAGGTAGGGGTTTATGGTTTCTAAATGCTATTTCTTGGTTTGTTACATTTGAAAATATTAAAACAAGTTTTTTTTGCAGGTACATTGGCGCCCTGGAAGAGCGCGAAATGGAGCTTCTAAAAATCATCGATCAATCCCGCTACTTCAAAGGAAAACTGCTGACGACCCAAATGGACAACCTCCGCATGGCCCTCTCCAAGCTAGCCCGTACCTTCGACCTGCTCAACGAGTCCAAAGATTCCACCAACGCCTACGAGCTGATCGTGGCAAACGAGAAAGCCGCCAACGAGCTGAAGCAGATCCGTTCCTTAAAGTCGGAACTGGTGCCCTGCGAAGACGACGTTATAATGTTCCTACCGCCAGACAATGGCTTCCTGAGTGCAATATCTTCCATCGGAAGTGTAACTATAAGTTCGCCAGTCATGTCTTCCAAAGTTGTGGCGACTCACCCTTTAAAAGAGCCTCAAATCGTCGTCAACATTCCCAGCGAAGTAAAAGAAGAGTCCGACATATTCCACCCCAAGAGGAATCGTCCGATATACGGTGTCACCAAACCCGTGATGGTTATGAAAACCGCACAGTTCCCTTCGCTGACGTTTGGCATGGAAGGCGAGCAGGACGGCCAGTTGTGCCGTCCCTGGGGCGTATGTTGCGACCGCTTAGGGCATATAATCGTCGCCGATCGAAGCAACAACAGAATTCAAGTTTTTGACGGTAACGGGAAATTTTTGTACAAATTCGGTAGTCAGGGAACTGGTCCGAGCCAGTTTGATCGACCCGCCGGAGTTGCGGTAAATCCCCAAGGCAATATCGTGGTGGCGGATAAAGATAACCACCGCATACAAGTGTTCAAAATTGATGGGTCCTTTATACACACGTTTGGCGAAAAAGGCACAATGAATGGGCAATTTAATTATCCATGGGACGTAGCTTGCAACTCTCTCGGTCACATCGTCGTCTCGGACACCAGAAACCACCGCATACAGCTCTTCACAAGCGACGGCACTTTCCTCAACAAATATGGCTTTGAAGGGTCCATATCAATGTGGAAACATTTCGATTCACCGAGAGGTGTCTGTTTTACACCGAAAGGCAACATCATCGTTACCGATTTCAACAACCACCGATTAGTTGTAGTCGATGCGAATTTTATGCAAGCTCAATTCTTAGGTCAGGAGGGGTCTAACAGCAAAGAATTTTTGAGGCCCCAAGGTATCGTGTGCGATGATGAGGGTAATATAATCGTAGCCGATTCCAGGAACAACAGGATTCAGGTGTTCGAGAGCAACGGCAACTATTTGTGGAAAACGGGGCAGAACGGCAAAATGGCCAACGAGCTTGACAGGCCTAGCGGCATATGTTTGAATCCTGAGGGCCACATAGTAGTTGTCGATTTCGGCAACAACCGAGTTCGTATCTTTTGATTTTATTGTATTCCTGGCTAGGCCGGTATTTGTTTCTCGTATATTATTTTCTTATGTTTTTTTTTAGAATTTAAGGGATCTAAATGCTTTGGCATTTATTTTCTATGTTTTAACTTAATATGTTTAAGTCTTACATTTTTAACTTAATTATTTTAAAAAATTCAAGTTATCCAAATGCAATATGATGCAATTAATAAGACTGACGTGTAAGACTGATTTTAATATTATACCTATATATTATTAAATTTATATAATTGCTGTGTTTTGGCATGTGATGTCGTTTCGACTGATAATTCATATTATCACTTTATTTTAAAAATATAAATTTTTGTAATGTCTTATTCCAGTAAGACTGAAATTATTATTGTTACGATGTGGCATATGCCGTATTTTAATACATTGTGGAATATCGTAATAAATTTGTGATTATGTTTATTTTTCAAATAAATTAAATACATCTTAGATTCAAATTTGTGTCTTATTCAGTGTAGATTTACCCTCTTTCAGCAAATATCTTTTTCCACTCTGGTGGATCTTTGCAATAAGGAATAATTAAAAACAATTTCAAATTACACTTCTTAAAAAATATAATTATAATGCTTCAGCATAACGAGGCATATAACAAGTAAACTATAACTTAACGAAGTAAATTTTGTGATATAAGTACTAAAAGCAAAAAAGCTAATTTGAATGAATCAAAGATCTGATTTAGATGTAGCTAACAATTATTCATATAGATATTTTAGCAAAGTTAGAACTACGTATGTGAATATATTTACTTTTTGGTTCTGGCTTTCATTAATAAAAAGAAAAACAAAATACAAATCATTTATTTTTACCTTAACCAATGTATATACAGCTAAACCTAATATCTTCTCTTTTGGGTGCTTATATAAAGAACATTATTGCCTCGAATAAAAGCATCTCCGAATTTATTTTTAAGTTGTCCATTGACATATTCTTCAGTCTGCTCGAGAGCGATGTTCATATATCCATCTAGGCACGCCAGAACACCTAAAAAATATATTTATTTATATTTTTATAATTACTTACAAAGAATATCCTAACCTCTATAATCTACTCCACTATTTAATTTCACTACAACTGGTCTAGCGTGTATTTGTTGTATAAAAGTGGATAATGCTTCTTTTCGACTCATGGTTTATTTATTATTGATGTGTTACTGTTCTTATTATGATTTTTACTATTGTTAATAAAAATGATACCAAAACACCAAATCACAAATTCACCAAATATTTGATTAATTAGTTGTTTATGTTTATGATGACCAGGGAGACTTACAATTGACCACAGATAGTAATGTTGTAGCTTGTAGCACACATCTTGTGTACGTTCTGTGAGCACAGCGGAAAGTAGTCCACAGATCAGTAACACTGGTGCTATCCATATGACAAAAAATATATTTCGGATGCACTTCAGGATCACTTCAGATTAACTTTTTACGTCCCAATGGGACAAAACGTATCACTTCTAAAGTGTTCTCGTTTGTTTTTCTCCGTCCTCTCATTCTCCACTTTTTACTAAAGAATTTTATACTCTCAAACTGCTCTCACACTATATGAAGTTAGAATTTTTTAGTATGTTTCATAAATATTATTTACGGATACGGATTATTCCATTGTAATTATTATTTGTGCAACTATGTTTTAAGAAATGAAATTTATTAGACTCTGGTTTTTGGTCCACAATAATAAAAACCAGTAATTGAAACAGATTTAAATGCTTATGAGTTCCTCTCAGAGATGCCCCAGTTGTTTAAGTTTGGAATATTTACAGGGTAGAACAGTAGAACACAACAGGAGCAGTTACCAAATAACTGAAAAGTAGCTATAGTGTGATATCTAGTAGGTAGTATGAAACACAAATCAGTGTTTAATGGGCAAAATTAAAAAAAATGGAGATAATTTTGGCATTAACAGTTTTTTAACCGCATTACCAGCGGTGACACTAGATTTGGAGATTCTTCCTTGATTCTTGATGAAAATATTTTACTAGATAATGGTTTTTGTTTTGAACGAACAGAGAGTGAGGAACACAACACGGTCGTACTGTGATCATAGTTCAGTAATTTGTGCTGTGATCAATTTTCACATGTAAATAAAAATCCAGCGCATATTTCACTAGGTTTAACTTTCAACGAAAATATTCTTTATATTTAAGATGGATATTGGATTTTTATAGCTAATTCTACAAAAGGAAAGCAGCTATAACCTGAACTCAATCTGAAGTTCAGAGAAAATTTTTGTCCGCGTTTAACTAAGAATATATTCGGATATATTTAAATATAGTAGTTTATGTGTGGTCCTTATATCAGCTTTGTGTTTACGAATAATAGGCACATATCCAGAAATAGATATGAGAACGCTTGGAGGTGATCATGCGCTCTGAGATTTGGGAGTTCAGCTCGGCGATCTGTATAATAATCTGTGATTTTGCTATATCATAGCGCAGCTTATTGACATCAGCAATATCAGCATACGTCAAATATACGTAGGTGTCAAAATATCATGTCAGCTGATTTTTGTGTTAACCTCATTAATTGCAGAAACTGAACAAAAATCATCAATATTGTAAAAGCTAAGTGACAAATTATAAAGTGCAAACCCTGTAATTTTCTTTTAAACTTAAAATAAATTATTGTTATGGATATAGCAACACCTGGAGCTGAGGGCCCACAGGATGATACTTTAAAATATGGATGTCCACATTACAGAAGAAAATGTAAATTTGTTGTGAGTAAAAATTATAGTTATTAGTTAACACATAATTCGGGTCTGTTTTTCTTTTAGAGTCCTTGTTGTAATAAAATTTATACATGCAGATTCTGTCATGATGAACAGGAGGATCATAAACTAATCAGAAAGGCAATCAATGAACTTATGTGTGCATTGTGTGACACAAGACAACCTGTGCAAGCAAACTGTCAAAGTTGTGGCATATTATTTGGAAAGGTACATGAGTAGAGTAGGCAAAAGTATTTCTTAAATTAGATTTATGCTTATATTGATATAAGGCTTTAAGATTTAAAAGCTTTATTGTTATCTTAATATGTTTTTTTAGTATTCCTGTCTAGAATGTAATTTATTCGATGATGAAGACAAAAATCAATTCCACTGTGCCGGCTGTGAAATTTGCCGGGTCGGTGGAGCTGATAGATTTTTCCATTGCGACACGTGCAACATATGTCTTCCTTTGCAGCTGAAAAACAACGGTCACAAGGTACTAAAGTCCCTTGATATCAGAATTCTTTTAATACCAGCTTTTCGTTTCAGTGCGTAGAAAACGTATCTCGCGCAAACTGCCCGGTTTGCCTTGAAGACATTCACACTTCAAGGATACCGTGCCACATACCGCTATGCGGACATCTTTTGCACCGTACATGCTTCGAGCAGCTAGTGCGCAGTAATCATTTTTCTTGCCCTATCTGTCAGAAGTCGCTAATGAATATGGATCAGATATGGAAGCTCAGAGACACGGAAATGGCAAATACACCCATGCCTCCAGAGTACAGTAATTATTTCATGGAAATTCAGTGCAAGGATTGCCACAAGGTAAGCTTAGAAACTAACGCTTGGGCGTATGATTTAGTTATTTCTTATTTTCAGAAAGGGGTGGTAAAATTTCACATCGTAGGGTTGAAGTGTACCCATTGCGGTTCTTATAACACGTATAAATTAAAGGGACCTTTAATTATCGAAGGTACGTATCAAATATTGAGTGGGGGATGGTACCGGGGATGTAATTTTCGAGAATTAAATCTATTTGTGTACCGTTGAGGTTTAAAAGTTTCTATAACATTTTTAGGTTTAGAAGGAAACGCGGAAAACACAAATTTAAACGAAAATTCTGGGGAGAGGAGTAACTAAATGAGGAGTAAGCTGAGATTAATTAATGATTCCTTTGTAATAATTTTACTTGAAGCCTGAACAGCCGATTTGAGCATCGGCGAATATTTTGTGATCTGTTAAATTTAATGACGGATAATTAATTTTATTTGTTGTTTTTAAAATGTATTTAAATATTATATTTAAGTAAATATTGGATTTTATTTTAATCATGTATCGTAAAATTCGAATCAGTTTATTAAGGAACAGGACAGAGTTTGATTCAAACGACTTTTTTATTTTAACATACATAATTTTTTGATGTATTTACTCTATTTTTTTTTTGTCATCACTTAGAGTAGCTAATAAACCCACTTTTCATAGTATTAACTGTATTGATAGAATATTTTGTGAGTATTCTTCCAAAATTTAGAATTTGTAGACAGTTGGAGCAATTTTTTATTTAGCTTACACAATAATAAATCATTTTTTAATTCTGTCGCTTCTTTATTTTCTTTTCCCATAATATACCATAAAAACAGTAATTTACTGAGGAAGAGCCATGGTCCATAATTTATTTAAAAAACTATTTTGAAATAGCAGTTCAAGTCGTCGAAATGATTGTGCCCATTTCTCACATTTTTCTCGTGATGCTAACAAAAATACACCAGACATGTATGGAGAGTTGCAGCAAACAATTTCATGATAAAGGTATACTTTTTTGAATTCGATAAAGACTGCTTTAGAGAATGCCATGAATTAAATTATTAGTGTATTTTCAAGTAGTATGTGAATTGATTTCCTTTTCTTAACGAGACACTCTATTTATTTTATTTTTGTCGTGATGATAACAAAATGTACACCTGACGTGTATAGAGTGTTGCAGCAAACCTGATTTAGAGATAAAAACTAGTAGCAAATTAAAATATCGAAAATAATTACGTAAATCATTTTCCAAATAAACAGAAATTGTTATAAACACATGTAGATATTATCTTAAAAAATATAGTTTTAATATGCTATAATTTGGGGAGTATTAACGCACTTCGTTATTCATATTTCCCGCTACACTTTGACAAGTTACCAGCAACTGGGTGTCGTTGGTGTCAGTAGTGTCTAGTGTCCCAAAATGGCTACCAGTGATGATGAGCCTATGCATCATTTATATGAAGTTTTTACCACTTGTTTTAATAAAAGCGCAAACAAAGCGATTGGTAAGTCTTTTATTATCTTATTATTCATTCAGATTACATAACACAATGAATATTTATTTTCATTTTCGACCGTTAGACATCAAAATAGTACCATGCAAGCGTGTGTGATCCAAAACATTGAACAGCTTGTTTTAAAAACCCCGATCTAGAAATTTTCAAATCTGTTCTTCTTAATTTAAGTGATGAAGTGGTTAGTTTTTTACACATACCGTGTTTTGTTCGGTTGTTGTACCGTTTGTTGTCATCCTAAATCGCCTTGGAAGATGTTATGAATACCTTTATTTGTGTCAGTTCTCCTACGAAAGCTTTTTGGGTTCTGTTTACAATTTTACAGCCTAGACCTAGACTTTATGTTTCGATAATTACTTCTTGTGTTATTTAACAATTAGCATAACATTTGTGGTTCGTTAGCCAAATAATCTTGCACTGTTTACTTGTTTATATTACATCCTTCCTAGGATAGTTTGTACGTTATTTAACTGTCACTGTACACCACTTAAGTGTTTCTAACTGACATAAGTACTTTAATTGTTAGAAATTATCTACTACAAATATTCCTAGTTAATTGACATTTACTTCTTGGGTATAATAACCTTAATGTGTTACTCAGATTTATTTCTACATTTCGTTTTGTGTTTAGTATTTACCGGAAAATGGGTTTATTATAGGCAAGGAATAGTGGATACAATTTCTTTAATTCGATTTTGAATATACAAGGTATAAGTACAAATTAGTGAATTAGATATAAACAACAAAAAGGAAACAATTTTACCATTATCTTTGTTATGCGTCTATTTAGAATGTGTGTTTTAAAACGTTTTTGTTATAATATAATCAACATCTTGTACTACTAAAATATAGTAATTTAATAAGTGCTCTTGATTTTTGAAAAGTGAAAATATAGGTAAAAGTTGCCCCGTCAAGAAAATGCAGTTTCCTAGTCTAGAATATTTTGTTCTATGTTCATTGCATCAAATAGTCGTGCTGCTATATGTTTTTTTACCGTAAATTGAATTCCATTGACTAAAAAAGAGGTTAATCAAGTAAAAATGTCATCTTCTATTAAAAAAAAACCGAGATTCCGTTATGTACAAGCATAGATGCAGCATAATACTTTGTCACCCTCATCAAATAGAATATACATGCAACATTTTGTAGAATTCTTGTGGTAAAATAAAAAAAGGAGTCTTAAATTGTCTTCATTATTTAGAAGATAATACTAATGACCAGTAATGATTGGCCATTAATTTATACCACCGGTATATTGTGCTATTAATAGACCATTGGCCCCACCATATTTTTACTTATTTGTTTTTATTACTCACAATTTTTGGGTATTTGAAGGTTTTTATTTTGCAACATTTGTTTGTGTGTAGCGTTTGTGATATGTTCGAAAAAAAATCCGTAGCAATGCGAGTGTTAACTTTTCAGTTTCAACAAACTAAATAAACTTTGGAGATACCTGTCTTGTTAACTTTTCAGTTTCAACAAACTAAATAAACTTTGGAGATACCTGTCTTCATTCGAAACAGTCGACAGCTTGCATGTGGAAGATTTTTTCCTCGTCTTGCTGGATCTACAAGTCATTTACAGATTTAATGACTTTGTCTTTGTTATTTGGGACCAGGTCGAACGATTATTTTCTTAAAAAATAACTGTCAGTCTTATTGCTTGCATTTTTCAATCGTGTTTTTTCTCCATTTGATTAAATATGTTTCGATTGACAAAAAACAATTCAAGACAATTAAAAACAAAGTAGAACTGTGTACCACTATGATTTTTAATTTTTGCAATTGGAACCGTCAAAACTCTACACCATTCTACCCAGATCGAATTTCTAAGAGTATATATTTTAAAACCACATTTCAATCTACATAAACAGCATTTCCTATTCCGTATATCGAATTATGTCACTTTCAAATTAAATTAAGTACTTCCCGTAGTTCCTAAAAAATCGACATAGCGTTACAATTTTTCTATCGGCGTATTTGGAAGTCTTGTGTTTATGTGTTGGATTAGAAAATCGAGCTCGTTAGGTTCAGTTGTCAGTCTAGATTTACAGTTTAAAAATTCGATCTGCTAATTAGACAGTTACTGACAGCTGTAACTCGCAACACATATACGAAGGAGAAAAAGAGATTACCCGTAAAGTCTATTTTTAGCCTACATCATTGTGTATGGGTAATTTTTTTCAATCAACTTTTTTAAATATATTATTGAGCATTACTGTTCAGGTAATCTGTCTTTGACAAAAGAATATAATTGTATCTTTTATATTCATGCGTGATTTTAATACTTAGGTATTTTGGATGTCACGGAACAGGGTCGGACTAGGAGGGAAATGTCCAAATAATGGGCATATTAAGTGATATTTAATTTATTACTTGATTTCACATTTTCCGTAAGCACTTAATTAACCCCCTAATAGGCGGAGAAAAAATCTGGTCGATAGCTCTAATATTAATCCTGATAAATATAGTCAAGTCGAGTTAGATCATAAACTTAGAAAACTTAAAAATGTTATTAGTGGACATTTTATTGCATGTTATGACGGTGAAGGGTATATAGAATTATAATATCAAAAAACTAACTCGGAAGAAATGTCAAAATTACGTGTTTTTGCACTTTTTTTTACTGTCCATGAAAATCTAGACGACTTATCGGAAAATTAGTTATTTTGTGTTGTAGGCAATTAAATTACCTGCAATTTAAGGTACCTAAAGTCATATTTCACCAATTTGTTAACTGTAAAATAAAGATCGAACGCATAAAAATCAGTTTTTTGAAAATAGTGCATTATTGTTGCAAACAGCGGTGGACGTTGATAAAATTTATGGAAAAGACTGTCAAACCAATGAACATCTGTGCCAAAGGCCAATTCGATTGAGCGTAAAATAGTAGCTGCAAAACAGTGTTATAATAAATAAATTGGCCCAGGGTCAGGCAAAAACCGCTCGGCAATTCGCTCTTTTTGCATCAAATGTATTTTTACGATATTAAAAAAAAGGAAATCACATACGCCCAAAATCTCCACTGAAAAAAAAAACAAACAAATACAAAATACTAAAAATGCAATTACAAAAAGTTCTGAAGATCTGTTGATATGATAACTTTTCGTGTTGAATTATTTTTGTCAGTTTAAATTTGTTTGTTTTTGAGAAATCACATTTGCGGCCACGCTTGGGAAAACGATCATATAATTCAATGGGGTTCGCCCAAAATTTTAGAGAAGGAAAAGAATGGCGTTATTATAAATTGTCTCAAGGTCAGGCAAAAGCGGCTCGGCAATTCGTTCTATTTTCCTCCCCTGTATTTTTACGGTATTTAAAAAAAAGGAAATCGCATACGCCTCTTTGTTTCCAAGATAGCTTTTTTATAACGTTTCCCAACTAAGCGTCACTTCTTTCGAGTTAAGTTTTTTGATATCATTATTTTGTGCGTAATGATTAATCTGTAACAGATATTATGCTACATTCTCGATTTTAAACTTTAGAGGGTGTAAATGGATAAATGAGAAAAATAAAAAAAAATGTTGCGTTGCGAAATTGGATTCTACACTATCAAAACTAACACCAGGTGGCTCATTTTCTTTGTGTGAGATCATTCTATTAATATTTACTACTGTAAGCATTGTTGTCATTCAAAGTTTTCTTGATTTTCTGTTGAAGAGAATCTTCGACATACCCCAACCCTCGAAACGCTTCAAAGTAGTGATGTCTGCTCCATAATTTGCTAAGAAATTAATTAGCTGCTGATCTGCAAAATGAATGACCGGAATGTGTTTTTAAATGTTGTAATTTTTCGATACAACTCTACTGGGATAATACCAAAACCATGACTCAAAATCGTGAAAGATTTTGTGAATGAGAAATGGACTAGTAAAATATTAGTTTTTTTACATGCTTTGTGCACAGCTTCGCTAGTTCGTCGCGTCTGCACCCACCAGCAACGGCAAAAACAGCAATCACCTGAAAATAAAAGAAAAATTTAGTAAAACAACTTAGAATAAGTAAAAAAAATGTACCATTAGCAACAAAAAATTATCGTCTGGTGCGTTTACAAGAAATTTGTTGATTTGTACTCTTGAAAAATCCGACGATGTGGTTTTGTTTTATATAAAACAGTCGGCTTGTGATATTTGCTATCTTCATTTTGGTAGACATTCAACATGGATTTGAGCATTGAATACTGTGCCCAATAGCCGAAGACTTGTGTTTTCTTGGCTAAATAATGTACCACAGATTGCAATTTAATTTTTAATGTAACAATAATTTGATAACCAATCTTTTGACATTTTAGTTAAATTTTCAGTTGACAAAGTGAGTTTTTTTTGTTACCCAGCTGCAAAATACTTTTATGTTCTAGAACGTTAGTCTTTTTCGTTTTAGAACATAAAACAAATGTCAAAATAATTTGTAATTTGAATTACTTTTTCTAGCAGAAATCTATTGTCAGGTGCTTCTTGTAACATTTTCTTAATTTCCTCTTTCGTTAGAATTCTGGACATTTTCGAACGGTATCTAACTGATTTGTTTTTCAAATATGATATTAGTTTTGAAAATTTTCTGATATTTACATTTTTTTTTTGCATTCAGTGTACTTTTTAACATGGAATATACTGACCATAACATCGAAAGTTTAATTTTATTAATTTCATGTTCGAACTATGCCAGTAATACAGCTTCGGACACTTTTTGAATTTTCTTCGAACTACACCATCTTTGTAGTTCGTTGTAGTCAATCTCGTATTGTCTCGACGATTTTTTGGGTATTAATTGTTAAACAGCACTTTGTGTTGCTTCCAGTATATCCCCTGGTAAATGTTCGTCTACACTTTCCGAGCTCATTTTNTAGCCGAAGACTTGTGTTTTCTTGGCTAAATAATGTACCACAGATTGCAATTTAATTTATTAATGTGTTAACAATAATTTTGTAACCAATATTTTGTTAAAAATACGACATAAACGTCTTCAGCGTTTGCATTTTCTATCTTCCAAGCT